CAGCAATCATATTTTTAAAGGTATTTTGTTGTAAATGTCGTATGTTTAGACAATGAAATTTCTCTGGACCATATGTTGGGGGGAAAAAATGAGTTTTTCTCTATCCCTTTCCTGAGAACAAAGAAGATAAAGAGAACAGTGAGCAGGCCTGAACATTCCTTGTTTCTTTTTACTTTAACTGCTCTGAACTCTGCATGTCTGTAACTGTTTGCTTTTCTGCCCCCTAACTCTACAGGAGCTACACTTCACACTTATTTTTCTTTGATTCTATGCTAAATACATCCTGTATCTGGTGATTACCCTTACAACACCCTTCAGAAAGAAGGCCACTGAGTCACTGAACTGCCAGGCTCAATAGATGGGTTACTGAGCCAGTCTATGGCTGACTTTGAAGCAATGCAAGAGAAAGGAATCAAGATCCTAACACCTTTGTTTCTCATCACTGACTCCTGACTGGGAGGCCTCAGATTATATCAGCCCCTAGGTTCCTCATAGACAGGGGGCTGTTTTTGAGGGATGAGCCTACTTTGTGCCCCTCTCTGCTGGCTGAGAATTAAAGCCACCTTTCTACTGCCTACCCACTCTACCTTTGTATTTTTTGTTTATCTTCGATGGGCAGAGAAGGCCAAGATTTTGGCCAGCAACATGATGGAACTTGCCTGAACACCTGCACAGGTGCCCTTGGGTTCCCTGATGGCCGTGACCTTCATGAGGGGCCGGTATCAGACAAGAGACAGTGGGAGGACAAGGACAGTTGGAGTTTTCTTGTCCTTGTGTCCTCCTCGGGGTCCTTGTGTCCTCGTCAGGGTCCTCATCTTGAGCTCTGGAAGGTACAGGATGTCCCTGATTTGACCCAAGGCTCGACCCTCACACCAAAGCCCTCATTGCTGTTAGACCACAGCTTCCAAAGCTGCTGGTCTCCTAGAGCAGTGGAATGGCCTCTATGAAGCACATGTGAGGTGCACACTGGGATATGAGGGCCCGGGGTGCTGGGGTTTCACCCTCCAGGGACTGGACAAACTTCACATCTGTCATCATTAGTTCCCCCCACTAAGTAAGATACATGGCCCTGGAACCAGAGAGAACAGTGACCCCACCTACCACCACTCCCAGTGACCCACAGGGGAAGTTGTGCTTCTGGGCCCCCGTGTAGGTTCTGCAATTCCTCAGCGGGGCTATCTAGCCGTTAGCCACTTCTAGCTATTTACATTTGACTTCACATTATGTTAAGGCAGAAGGCCAGGCCCTGGGACACACTAAGTACATTTGAGTTCACACTACCCAGCCTCATGTGGCTACTGGTCACTCAATGGTGGTGACAGGACATGCTCTTCCCAAAGGAAGATGGTTCCCCCAGGAGATATCATAACAGTCCTACTGACCTATGAGCCATGGTTCCCACCTGGTGCTTTGCGCTCCTCTCCGCAGAGGTTCAGGCACCAGTTCCCCAACCACATGTCTCCTCTTCTCCTGACCCAGCCCTGCCGTGTGACAAAGGGAAAGGGAGAGAAGGATGAACCAAAGAAGGAGGGCAGAGGGAGAGGACTGTGTGGTCCTCGTGTGATTCTGGCTTGAAGCTCAGCTCCAGACTCCTAGGCTGCATCCCTGCCCCTTGCTCCCAGGGCTCTCCACCCTCCTCAGTCCCTCTGGCTGTACCACCCCCAGGATACCATCTGCAGTGCCCAGAATCCAAAATGCCCCTTCCTCTTCCACCCTGTCTACATCACAACTGTCCTGGAGGGCTCTAGGAAGAGTGTAGTTCTCCTAAAAAAACCTACCTTCTGACTGTGCCACTGGGAAGAGCCCAGGTCCTCACCCTTGGCCCTGAATGGATGGCATCTGGACAGATCTTCCATCAGTCAGTCAGGCAGGAGCCTTTCCTGCTTCTTGGGAGCTCAGGCCCATGGACATGGCACCACCTCCATCCAAAATACCTATCCATCCCACCCCAGGCATCAACACACATGGGATGCTTTTTCCTAAACAACATGCTATTGTTATTTAGATGAACCGTTTTTTTTTCTTTGTTTTAAAATCGGTGAATTAATCATGTATTTATTTCCAACTTGTTGTAGGTTTACATGAGGATCCCCTGTTCCCTGCAGGCAGCTTCCAGGAAGCACATGGAGAAGAGATGTGAACAAGGACCTGGAGTCTCTCCCCTGACCTGCAGTGTACTCGGTGCTGGTGCTCAACAGACAGCAGCCGGTAGGTATAGCTTGTGATGAAGACAGTTCCCTTCACGTGTTGAGGACTTTCTGAGGAAGCCAAAGATGCCTTGAATCTTCAACTGTGTCTAGTCACTACTCTCTACTGGCACTTTCCAATGCAAGATCTGATTTAGTTTCCAAGGCTCTTGGGAATGTCAGGGAGGGGTCCCCCTCCCCCCACTCCCTCCAGTTCTCTTTCTGCCCTACCCTCTGCAGCGATGCCCGGCCACAGTCTCAGCAGAGTGAATATGTGGCCCTACTTCCTAATGCCAGGGAGTGTAGCCTGGGAGACTCGGCTACCTCCACAGGATAGAACTTGTCTGAGCACCTGCACAGGTGCTCGTAGGCTCCCCAACAGCCATGACCTTCATGAGAGGCAGGTATCAGACAAGTGACAGTGGGAGAAAAAGGACAGTGGGAGTTTTCTTTACAAAATCCAGCAAGGATAAGCACAATGCACCACTCTTCACCTTCAAGGAGCATTCTGCTGCTGCTGCTGCTGCTGCTGCTGCTGCTGCTGCTGCATCGCTTCAGTTGTGTCCGACTCTGTGCGACCCCATAGACAGTAGCCCACAAGGCTCCCCCGTCCCTGGGATTTTCCAGGCAACAACACTGGAGTGAGTTGCCATTTCCTTCTCCAATGCATGAAGGTGAAAAGTGAAAGTGAAGCTGCTCAGTAGTATCTGACTCTCTGCGACCCCATGGACTGCAGCCTACCAGGCTCCTCCGTCCATGGGATTTTCCAGGCAAGAGTACTGGAGTGGGGTGCCATCACCTTTTCCAGGAGGATTCTGAGGTGTGTGAATTCAAATTCAGTGCGAAACAAACTCTCTCAGAAGGAGAATGCAGATAGTGGAGTGCAGCTTATTACACTGGTGGGCCCAAGACAGAGTCTCCTCTTAGACAAAGACCCCGACCAGTTTTTGTGAAAACCTTATATACCCTAAGTGCATAAGTTTCCCTGAAACTAGTCTGAACAAAGGAAAAAGAAAGATCCAAATAAAGTTAACCCATGATCATATGCCTTAAGCCTAGGTAGTTAACAGTGGACAATTATCAATAAGCCTGTAGTCATACCCCAGTAAGCATAATAGAATGTATGATTCTATTCGGTTACACAGATAATTAAGGTATTCTTTTAGGGGATGGAGAGCGCTGGGGCTCTTCCTTCCGGCATCTTGGTTTTCCAGTTGGTATGTCGTCTCCATAGATACTGGGCCTATACTCAAAGTCCACAGTCCGGCCCAAGATGGAGTCCTACTTTCAAGATAGAGCCTATTCTGTTTCCTCCTTCACTATGGCTTTGGGGGTCTGACCACCTAGGAAAGCTGACCCATCAGTTGAAGTGTCCAACTGCCAGTTTCAAAGAAGAACCCCATTAAAATCTTACCAGAAGACTGAGGGTAGTAATTGAAATGTCTTCAACTATACTCCCTGAGACTGAGTAGACTATGTGCCAAACCAAATTCATTCATTTTCATTTGGAAACTTTCAAGTGTATTTAGACGCAGGCAGAAAAACCAGGTGTCTACCTGTTCTGACCAAAGTGCACTTTGTTTTTGAGACCCAGGAGATTTATTGGAGAGAAGATGAACTTCTAACATGCATGCCTGATTCCAGACTTTCCTCTCACTCATAAGACACCGTCTACAGTCTGGCTGTTGACACCACTCATGTTCATTACCATCATCTCCCACAGAAGGAGCCCAGCTTCCCAAAGCCTCAAACGGCCCTGGCTCAGGCACCAACACTCGAGTGCTCCTCCTGGATCCCCACCACTGTGCCCCATATTGCCTGTTCTGTGGGACTATGGTATGTCTCTCTACCTTCCTCCTGTGACTGTGGCTCCTAGACCATAGTTCTAGGTGTGGGGGTGTCCTGCTTCTCCTGGTGTCCCCACTGCTAACGCAGGGCCTTCCACAGAACAGAGGCTCCATGAAATTCTGTGGAATAAATGAACCAGTGAGAAGGGGGCTTATTAATCTCATCAATTTTCTCCTACTTTCTTAAATAATAACCTGGCAAAATCCAAGTAAACAGATGTGGTGGATTAGCTGTAGAGAAGGACAGTTAGAACCTATAAGAAGCGAGAATTCACTACAATCCTTTTTTATTTTCCAATTCTTCCATCAACTATATACTGCTAAGTAAGTTCACATATCCAAAATATTTGTAATTCCAGTTCCATGTGATCTTGCTCAGGGTCACAAAATAAAATGCAAGAGTTTCCAAACTCTTTTACAAAACAGCCAAACTCTGGTCCTTTAACTGGTTAAGTACAAATACATGTGTGATCAATGTCATTCACAAAGTTAGATACTGAAGTTTATTAGGGCTTAAGCTGAAAAAACACATTTGAAAAATTCCTAAAAAAAAAAAAAAAACAGATGAATTTCCATGTCATCACAGAGAAAAGGAACACAAAGATGCTACACCCCGGGTTCCCCCAAGTGGCCCAGGCCATCACTACTGAGAAGGCTGACTGCTCCCTCTTCAATCTCAGAGGGAAGGATCAGCTTGGCTGCTTCTCTGGGTCAGGGCTCCTTTTCCTCCTCCCTCACAGCCTCTGCAGTTGAGGGTGGGAAGGCCCTGGAAAACCGCTGGTGGACTCTTAGCAGGTACTCCATGACTTCCTACTTGCTGGTCTCCGTACAGGCCTGGGGACCTCACAGAAACTCAAAGCGAGCAGGGTCATTGTCAGACACCTGCCGGTACTCCAGGTACCCCTCCTGCACCTACAATTGGGTCAGCAGCTCCCTGGGCTCCCCTAAGACACAGTGCTCCGTCCTGACAAACATCCCCATTTGCTGAGTGCTCCCCAGACCTCCTCCTTAGGGGCGCAGTCTCCATTCCACATGATCAGGCTGAGGACCAGCACCAGGAGGCCGGCCTTGGGCATGCTCTGCGCACTGCTCAGCATCGCATCGCAGGTGAGGCCCAGGGTGGGGACCATGATGTAGATGTGCTCCCTGGGGTCCACCTCCTTCACCTCCACACCACAGACCAGCTGCAGGCACTCTGAGGCTTGGCTGAAGTCCACCGAGAAGTGCTCCTGGTTATCCCTGAGGACCTTCTTCGGCATTTTTGCCTGGGAACTCAGCTCCTTGGCCCGATACTTGAAGAGCAGGAACTTGATCAGGTTAGCCACCATCTCATTCAAAGCTTCCTGGGGCAAGGCCTCCGCAAGCGTGGAGCAGGAGACTTGGGGGGAGGAGGCCGAGGCGGATGCAGCCTCCCCTGCCTCAGCCCCCAAGAGCTGCGCCTCCTTCGGGCCCTGGGCCTCGCCTGGGTCCTGAAGGTCTTCCTCAGGCTTGCTCAGCTCAGTCATCCTGACCACGAGTGTAATGCCTGGGATCAAGCCAGAGCCAGGAGTGAGGCAGGGGAAAAGATGGGGACTTCGCATCTGGGGGAGAAAGTGGGTGTCAACAGCCTCAGCTGAGCAATGCACCCTGGGAGTTCCGACACAGGCCACTTACAGGTCTCCCCTTGAGGTGTGCTCTCAGACCTCACAGGGGCATGCCTCTGGGGCGGGCAGTCCCCTGGCTACCTGAAGGACGAAGTAGGGTGGCTCCAGAGGGTGCGGTCAGCACAGTCTGAGATTTCCAGGGCTGACAAGGTGTGGGAATTAGGCCCTTGTGGGGTCCCCTATGTTCTGGGATGGGGATCCCCTGGTGCACACTCAGGCCACCCTCCTCACCTTGACTCCTAGCACTGCCTGAACCTCCTCTGCTCTCTGACTGATCACCATCCTTTCTTCTCAAGTGAATTCCACATCTGTACCAACCAAGTTTGGGGGTGTGCAAGGCTTTCTCTAACACAAGCAGGATGGGAAGATGCCAAGAAAGCTCTTGGAGCCACACCTTCTACCTCTCTGTGTCAGCCACACTGAGATGCAGGGGGATTCAAATCACAGCAGCACTTAGACTTCTCTTTGGATTTGCTCTGGAAGTTTTTCAGACACAAGAAATTCTCTGGTTGTCAGTGACTTTTTCAAGTATGGGTTTGATGCTCCTTCCTCACAGAGATGGTCTGGCCCAAAGCCTTGGGCAGGAGGGAGAAGCTGCTCTCTGGCTTCTGAACAGGTCTCCTCTAACATCCCAGAACACAGGCACTGGGACCCTCTGGGTGGAATCTCAGTTGAAACAGTGGGACAATAAGGCCTGTTTGGGGAGGTCACGTACTCATTCTTTTCTCCTCTCAAGATATTTTCCCAAACCTTCCCAGGATGCTCCGCGGAAACCACTTCCAAAAAATTCTCAAAGTTCATCACCAACTTGTCAATAAGGCCATTGGGTGAAGAACATGTTAGAATCCTGTCTTCTTCTCTGTTCACAGAGTTGTCAAACTTCTTCAGATTTAGCTTTCCTTGGGAAAGTGAGAGACATGCCCCCAGTGGTCATTTGGGGGCCACACATGATGTAGCCAAAAGCTACTGGGCTTGGGACACCCAAAGCCCACCTCTGCACTAGTCTGCCACATCCCTCTCAGAGACCAGAAGTGGTGCCCTTCCATGGGACCTTGGCAAGAGTGGCCCATTTCCTGAGAAGAACACANGGCTCAAGATGAGGTCCCTGAGGGAGATTATAAGGAACCCCACAGATGCCTACCCCTGCTGTCAGCCCTGAGCCACCCTGCTGGTGGGATGAGCACTTGGCAGCCTGTTCTGACTTCCGCATCTGTGTCTCAGATACATTAGGCAACTGTCAGAAGGGGCAGGGCCTCAACTGGGCAGAGGGGAAGATCTTAGTTCTTTGGAGGGTCAAGGTGAGGATGCTGAGGGAGGACTGAGGGGACCCTGAACCCCAGAGCAGAGTGGGCTCTGGGAGGACATAGGGTGGATGAACATATGCTGCATTTCCTGACATCCAGGTCTCAGAGAGACTGGGGACCTGGTATAGGGGGCTGACTTCCTGACATCCAGTCTCAAACTGGGGACCTGGTACAGGCAGCTGACTTCCTAACATACGGGGTTCAGACTAGGGTCTGCCAGATTAGCCTGTATGGATTCAGCAAAGTGCACCAGGATGTGCTCACCTCCCTCTTCCTGACGAGGATGCTCACAGAGGTGCCAGCTGTCTGAGTCCTGAGCAAGGTAAGGGCGGGGGAGTATCTGTTGGACCCTGGTGACCAGGTGGGTGCCAACCTCAGGGCCGCAGGGACGGTGGCTGGCCTGCCGGGAAGCTGTATATAAAGACAGGACTGGGGACCAGCGTGTCTGCATGAGCTGCCAGTGCTGCGTGCTGTGTTGGGGAGTTGTGAGAGGGAGATCCTAAGCGTTCTCAGCACAAAGAAGTCACTGCCCCTCCTCTCTTTCTCTGGTGGGGATATCTATGTGAGATGATGGAGGTGAGCTGGATGCACAGTACGGATCAGGTCATGATACCCGGGGGCCAGGAGTCACTCTGTACTGCTGACCCATGGGCCCCTAGATCACAGTCACACGGGGGAAAGAGATGACACTGCTCAAATTCTAAACCTTCCTGTCCTCCAGCCAAGACACAAATGGGCCCTGTGTGGAGGCAGGTGGGGGGAGGGGATTGTGTGCCGCCATGATTACCTCATGGCTCAGACTGGAAAGAATCCACCTGCAAGGCAGGAGACCTGGGGTCGATCCCTGGGTTGGGAAGATCTCCTGGAGGAGGGCATGGCAACCCACTCCAGTATTCTTGCCGGGAGAATCCCCACAGACAGAGGAGCCTGGTGGGCTACTGTCCATGGGGTCGCAAAGAGTCGCACATGACTGACTGACTAAGCACTTGACTCTCATAGCTGTGGAGAAGAAGTTTAGTGCAGGCAAGCACAGGTCCTTTGTTGGGGAGTGTCCTGGTCAGCCGAGGAAGTGCAGACCAGGGGTTGACCTCTGCATAGAAAGCAGAGAAGCTTCTGCAGTCTGCCCACTGCAAATGCCATGTCCCCTCTCCGGTCCTTGTACAGATACTCTTGGGCCACTCAGAGTCATTTTCCAAAGGTGAGAGCCGATGGTGAATTAGCGAGTCTCAAGGATGTGCAAGCTGGGGCACCGCCTCCTGTGAGACAGGGTCCCATTTTCTCCATGAGGCCTGGGGATGCCTGGGTGAGGGCACCCAGGGGCCTAGCCAGGAGGGTGCTTATTCCATAAGCCTTTTGAGAATCGGACTTTGCTATTCTCTCTCTCTCTCAGTGAACCCCAGTTACAGTTCTGCTGCAGTCCCCTGTTTAAGAGAGACAGCCCACACCTCCTGGGGAAGATGAAGAGGAGAGGGGGCATTAAGTCTGCATCTCGGCAGGTGGAGGGCAGGCCGGCAGCCCTGGGCGTCCCTCCTGTGCCCAGCACAACATAGCCATAGGACGGCCTGTCATCCTGCCCTGAGGGTGTCCAGGGAACTGCCAGCCACCTGGAACATGCCCCTGCCACTGCCCTGGCCAGGACCTATGCCACCCTTGCTCCTGGTCCAGGGACAACAGCTCTGCCCCACCTTGATGTGTCCTGGCAGCCCAAGGGCTTGCAGGCTCCATTCTCTCTAGTACCTGTCCTGATGGAAGTGGCCCTGGCCAACAAGGGCCAGTGGCTCTGCTTCACCTGGCCTCTTGCCCAGATGACTCCTCATGTGGTGGTGGTGGGCCCCACCACTGTGCTCACCAGATCTTCATCCTGCTACCTAGGCAGCTCCCAGTGGCCACACTGGTGCCTCTGTGTACCACCTGGATGATTGTTGTGGCTGGTGGGCCAGACCCCAGCCTGACCATGAATGNTCAAGTGAGGAGCCTGCTGGACAGTGTCCCTGGACCCGTGAAGCCACTCCGCCAGGCTCTTGTCAAGCCCTTGATGCATCTTTTCAATGAGTGGGTGCAGAGTGTCTGAGGGGCTTCCATGGGTGTGCATGAGGTACCTGCATTGTGCCAGAGGTGGACAGCCATCTGTCTTGACTTCTTGAGCAAGCAGCTGCCGAGGGGACTGAAATGCTCAGCCAGGTCCAGGATGGAGGTACTGAAGAAGTGTGCTAGGCGGGAAATCCCTTGTGTTTTCGGGCTCTTATTTTCCTGCAGTGTTCTGACCACAGGGCAACCTCTATCTGTCTGAATAGGGTGCATACTTGGGGTCCTCTGGGAGTGCACTTGAAAGTGGTGGGGATTATGGGAAAGAATGGCTGCAGATTATGAGAAAGAGGGGCTCCCTGAGCAAGTTAAGGCTGCCTGACATCAAAAGAGACCCATGTGGTACTTCACTCCCACCACTCAGTCCTTGGTAGATTTTGACTGATGTCTGCA